AATTGTGTAGCTCTATTGAAAATCCCGCATATCATGCTGTGGGAAGCCAGCACTTTTTATCTGTCGGCACTGTTGGTGACAAATATTAAAATAAAAAGTATGACACTATAGGTGCTTCAAAATTCAAACTGCAAGTTTCCTACTGCGGGACTTCTAACCATGTAATAAAGTGCAGGGAAGAAAGCAGAGTTCAGACCCCATGCTGTAATAAAGGCAAGGAAATCTTAAGTGTTCAAATACATAATTCATTCTCTTCTGAGACTTTATACCAGGTTTCTACTAGTAAAGATTTTAATTTGTGACTAGGTGATACAATCTTTAATTTCTCTTCTACCTCCAGAGACAGCTGGGAGAGCGCTGGGAGAGCACTGGGGCAGACCTGTTCATTGTGGTGAGGAAAGCAAATGGTCATAACAGGTCATAGAGTTCCTCTGCAGCTGGCAAGGGTGCGACAGCCCTACAGGGTAGAGGAGAAAGAACCCCTCATCTTTTGCTTGCTGTGAAAGCGACGGCAAGAAAGCCACGACAGTAGCTTTTATTTGTTTGAAATCGAAATACTTTGCACCTTAAATTATGTCATACACCAAGGATCTCAAAACATGTAGCAAACACGGGCTGGCCCTCAGCTTTCTGTGGGGAGATAAGTCCCTGTTCCTACTTCTTGTCTTCCTGTATTTCCTGCCAACTTGAAGTCTACTGCCATTTTGTTACACAGATTTCAAAAACAGAATTTGAAACACGTGGCTTTAAAATTTTCTTATTAGCTGTGACCTTGAGCATTTATTGTTTTGCTGTATAGCTATTTTTAACTGCACTTTAATAATATTTTTACGCAAATAACAGCACAATAATCACAAGGAGGAAGTAACTAATGACAAATTAAAACCACCTTTGTGCATGTATGCGTACACATTGTATCTGCATAAGTGACAAGTTACTGAAAATGTATTGACCATTTAGATGATCAAATATATCTCTGTTAAAAGTCCAGTGAAATCACTGCATTTATATCAGGGATAAATCTGGCTCAACTGTAAGAAGAATGCATGCATCTCACTGCAGTGGTCATTTAACCTGAATTATATACATTGATCTGTGCGCCCCCCTGGTGTTGGCATACAAAACTGACTGGATTACATATTCAGATGTAAAGCTACAACAAAATTGGCTTTGACCTATTTACATTTTCTAATCCAACCTCATAAGCCTAGTTGTTTTCTTTCTAAACCCTGATTTTTTTCCATTCCTTCTCAAATGCCTTCTGAGGGACTGACATCCATGTCATCCCAAAACATGATGATGCCTCGTACAGTGCTTGGCATTCAGTGCTTTAAAGACTATTGCCTTAGATGTAGCTTAGTCCTCTCAGACATGGCTATTCTGGCAGCAATCGTTGAAATCATGGGCTCTGTAAACCTTTGCTGTCCTCTATAGGAGGAAGCCCCGTAGGAGTAATAGTTTACAGAGTTAGTCTTTAAAACACTTCTATTTTAACAATTATTTTTTTACAAAACAGCACTAGAAGCTAGCACCATGTCCTGCCCCTTGGTCTTTAATGATGTTACACTTTTCCTCTTGACAATCCCACATGCTTTTAATATATTTAAGTTGGTCTCTACTTACGCATACTTAGAATGTCCCTTTATTTGATACCATCTGAGGGCTGCCTTATTGTGCCACAATAAGGCACAAGTCATGCTGCTGCATTAGCAATGATCTAAAGATAGGCAGATTTTACAAGGAAGAAGCAACATTATTTCTCTAAGTGAAGTAATAATGAAAAAAATTTAAAAGGACAAACTTTCAGGCACTAAACCTATTTCCTGTGGTTTTTGTTGTTTTTTTTTTTTTTTTTTTTTTTCCACAGGCATTAACAAAGCTTCCAAACCTTATCCCCCTTCTTGTATAACACTGATCTGTGGAGTCCCCCTTTGCCTATTTATGGAGCCAATGTCCTTCACTGTGTCAAGACTGCTATCCCTGTTTCTTAGGACAGTGCCCTGCCATATGTGTCACTGTCCTCATCCTGATTCATGTGCAGTAGCTCTGCAGACTGTTGAGGCACTGTTGTGCTGATTGCATGTGGCACCATCTTGCTGAAAAGAGCAGTTGTGTCAATCTGCTCTGCTTTGAGTAAGAGAAACTGTGCCCCAGTGAACTTGCTGAGAAGGCTCCTGTTGATGTCAGGGCTTTGGGCTGCAGTTATGGCTAGTTATAGCTTGGGCTGTGACAGAGGACATCAGGTTTCCATTCGGGTCTCCTCAGTAGCTGAAGCAGGGTCCCCAGGGTGCAGGCTCCCTGTGCTTTTCCCCACAGCAGCACAGCAGTTCACTCACGCAGCAGAGCGGGTTCTGCCAAAGCAGGGTCTGGCCCTGTTAATGAACCCTGGCTACAGTGCCAGCCACTCTGAGGAAGCACAGATACTCAGTTCCCATGCCTAAGCTTGCTCTTTCAAGACAATATTAACATTATTCCATGCTGCTTTTTAACAGCTCTTCAGGGTTGGGGGAGAGCTAGCTCTGATACCTTAGTGCAAGGAAGACTAGTAATTAGAAGGATGAGGCTGGTGCAGCTGGGTTGAAATGTGTTTAAACAAACAAAATAGTAAAAAAAAGGAGCACCCTCTGCCTACTTCAGTTTAGGGAAAAGGTCTCTCTGACTCTACCTGCTCTGAGGCTACATTGAGGCTCTTTCACTCTGCTCTGAGACTTGCTGACACTACTGATTCAACACTGTATCAAGACACTCCAACTGTGATCTGAGACCTGAAGCAGAGTGGAGCGTCTTGACACAGTGTCAAAACAGTAGTCAAGAGCACATGGACGCAGCACTGAAAGGCTTTTGTCTCCCATATGAAAAGGAGCTGGATTACTGTAATTTTTTATTTTATTTTTATTTTTTTATTAATGGAAGTTTTCTCTTAAATAAAAACTCCCACAGTTTATTTGCAGGAAGAAAGGGTGGCATGTCCGTTCCCCCCCCCCCCTTCTTTGATAAAGCAGTGTGACAGACAATACAATACACTTCTCTAAAGCAAAGTTCTTTGGCTTTGGAGAAGTAAAAGAATATATTTGGAAATTATTCCAATTTAGGAACCAAAAGGGGTTATTCCTTTCATGATACTGCACAACAGTCATCTCTTTGTGCATGTTTGTATTTGTTGTATAATTTGGACTTGCAGTTTTTTACAGTGACATTTGTTTGATCTGACTATTATTTTGGGGCATGCCATTGCCCACCACTCTGTCCACAAAATTCAAGCTCTGGTTTTTGGTAAGAATAGCTGTGAATTCAGATATTTGAGTGCTGACCATTATTCAAAAGAAATTAGTTCAATTGTCAGAATGTGGCAATGCCTGCTGAGACAGGTTTCTTTTCTGCAGATGAGATGGTCTTAATGTTACATGGACTGTGACTTTAAACAGGTTGTACACATTTATTTAAAAAATGAGAAAACAGATTTTTTTTTTTTCCTTGCTGGCATCACAGCTACCAAGGAATTAGCAAAACCACCTACCAAATGTTTTATAGATGGTGATGTTTTTGCTGAATGTTAAATGAAAACAATCCATTAAAATAAAAAATGAAAATTCTTTTTGTTTCCTTTTCCTCTTGGGCCTTCCCAAAAGGAGGTCGACACCAACCCAGTTTGAAAAATACTTACCTAAGCCAATGACTGCCCAGCATGTATTCCCTTGAGCAACTTGAGTGGGCATGATGCCATCTGAACAGATGGGCATTACTGTAGGCAACCAAGAGACCATGCATGTGAATCAAGTATGGGTGTTTACAGCACTATTTCCCTGATGAGAATGTCAAAATGGCAGCCTAGTCCGAGCCTTTGGCTCAGTTTGATTGCATTTCACTAATTCAGTTCTAAAATGGACAACGTCACAAAATAAATAATTAAGTTGGATGGTCATGATTTTACTTCAAGGAATTGGGCAGAAAAAATGGTTAATGGGCTCAACCCCAATAATGTGCCTGCCTCCGATCTGTACCATGAAGGCTTGCTATTTTGTAAAATGAGGGCAAAGAAGTTGCCATGTCTAACAGGGCTAAGTATAACATAGGCAGGCATATTAATACTACTGATGACTCCAAACTGAAAGAAAGAAACATTTGCACTTTTTTTTTTTTTTAGAGGGGCATCTTGTTTCAAATAAAAATAAAAACAGTATGAAATGGGACTTATATGCATGGTGTATTTGAATAATATGCTAGTTCAGGGTCAGATTCTTAAAGTTACACATGTTGAATTAAGATTTCATTGCTGTCCGGAACAGAAATCCACATAAATGTTGCAACATTTTTGAGCCTAGCACTCAGTGCAACTCCTATATGTGTTGAATGAAGTGAGTTATACTGAATTATCGTTGGAAGTTCTCTAACATCTATCACAAAGAAGACTTTAAATATAAAAATTAAGACTGGAATTTGAATATTAAATTACAGAATATTAAATTACAGATTCCTCTACTTTAACAAAAAAGACTATGCTATATGTATCCTGGAAGCTTGATTTAAAGTATGTGTCTGAAATGATGTTGTTATTTTATTTTTCTTTTGATGATCTGTTAATAGTTTCTTCGCACCAATTTCCATATGGTTGTGTAACACTAACAGCTTATGTAGCCTTCAGGTTTACCTTTGGTAATCTATGTAACTTTTTGCTTTCCTGAGTGTCTAGTTGCCTGAATTTGAAGAATTGCAATACTGAATCATCTTTTTTTTTTTTTTTTTTTTTTCCCCCAGGAATAATGCAACATCTTACTGATAATAGCTAAAACTCCCTGTGTTTTAGATTTGAATTATTTGTTCCTACTTTTTGTTTGTTTTTAAATCACCTATTTCTGCTTGGGCGATTTCTAGGAAGTACCCAGTGCATTTTACCTATACTCGTATCCCTTAGCTGGGGAATTCAGGGAAAAAAAAATGAAAAGAAAAAAAAATTGAAAAACAGAATGTGAAAATTAAAATAGTTCTTTCCTAATGGTTGGAACAAACAGTATCTGGAGTGTGTCTTTCTGTATGCAAAATATTTCAGTATTTTTATTATTTCAAGCTATCAGAATCAAACTTTTCATTTGTCTTCTATAACATGAAGGCTTCGACTTCTGCCATTAGACTTGCTAAAATGCTCTGTTACCTTGTATTTCATTTTCTAGGGAGCATGTTTATTTTCTTACTCAATGTCATGGTAACAGAAACACTTCCTTTATATTGTATCTAAGTTTGTGTTTTAAATACAAGCAGGGCAGGTTGGAGATTGCTGTATATCCCATGTGGAAATACAGCACTAGCTTTCTGGGTGCCAACACATACTCCCAGCTGTTGCTCTAGGGTCACAGATGCATCTCACACTGAATCAGTTAAAAATGCAGTAGCTGTGTTTGGGGACATAAGCTCAAATTTTCAGGGCCTGATTATTCTGTTAGTTTCATATGTGCAATTCCCACTGAAGTCAGCAGAAGTAGTGCATGCAGACCTGACAGGCTAATTTGGAGCCCAGAAATGCAAAGGATGTAATCATACATTTGATTTCTGTGAGTACTCATGGTCTGATTCTAACCCATCTACGCAATGTTATGATTTACCACAGCTTTTAAGGATTTGGATGGATCGAAAAATATTAGGCTACTTGTGATATTTTATTTTCAATGAACAGGGGAAGAAAAAGAGATGTGAAGTGTATGAGCTCATGCTGGACAAGGCCAGAAAGAAAAATGCATTCTACAGTGCTCTGAAACTGACTAAGACTAATACAATGTATGGCATACTATGTAAGGAAAAGAAATGTGAGACCCTGAGGAATGAAGGCAAGCTAATCAAAGGAATAGCTAATGGCCTAGAAGGAGGACAGGGAACAACCTGTTTCTTATGTAGCCCACTCAGTTCTTAGTTCAGAGGGCCCGTGTACAGAGTGCTGGGACCTGAGCCCAAGATCTTAATGATTTTGTCCAAAAGGGGTCAAATTCATGGCAAATTCTTTATGTCTATATATTTTATTCTTTGATCAGAAATGGACAATTTCTTCCACACAGGGAACAGAGCCAAGTACTGGTGCTGGACCACACAGCACCAAGTACGTGTGATGCTTTTGCACATGCTTCTCCAAAATGACTTACACCTGCAGTCCTACAACATGCCAGAGTGATACTGCTGGTCCAGTTGGCCTGCTGACTGATCAGCACCTCAGGGCAAATAAAATTGTCATGGAAAATGGATTTGGCACCTGAATCATCAATAGGTGAGCTGAGAAGATGATCAGTAAGGTCTGAGCAAGCTGATGCTTATTCCAGTAAGTGATTGGAGATAAAGCCTTTAATATGATGCTCCCAGTGTCAATATTAACTCTCTCATCTGTTTTCAGATTAACAGAACTGAGAAGCCCAAGAAAGACAGTGGAGGCTGGAGTGATGCTGATTACATTGGAATGTATAGCAGTTAGTTGAACTAATGGAGAACAGAATTACAGATGTCTGTAGGAATTCAAGGAGACTTACAGTAAAGAGGGTGGGCCAGCAGTGCAGTCTGCAAAATGGAGAACATGAAGGTTTGCTGAGTCCTCTCTCCTGAAGCCTACAGCTTTGAGAAATGGTGAAGATGTAGTCTTAGGAATCCCTAATTTCTCTGGCATCCCCAAATATACTAATTAATACTTGCAGACGGAAGTGAGAAGTGTTGCTTGTGTTATAAAGTATTAATGTTCAATTTTTAAACTATTTCTGTCATTTTTTCTGTGATGACAGCAGAGGACTATGCCATTGAAATAAAGTAGGTGTTTCTAGCCTGTAACACTGAAAAAAATCAGTCTGAGGCCAAGGATATTTAAGGCTCATGAGTAAAAACATACTTGTAAGACAGATACAGTGCAAGATGACCCCAAGAACGAAGAGTAAATGTAAGGTACTTGAATTTCACATGTTCTGGGGTCTGGGAGAACCTGATTTGCATTCATCTTTATTGAAACACCTGGCCAGTGCCCCCTGCACAGCCTTGGACAAGATGTACCTTTCTGATCAGTGGTCACCTGGAGGTTGCTAAGGAAAACCTGGCTGTTACCAGCTGTGAGTGACCACACGGGTCCCAACCCACAGCGAGAAGCACGTCCCTCCTCTCTGCTGCATTAGGAGGCCTTTGTGGTCACCTCAAGCACGTGGTGGAAGTGTAGCGGGCAGCCAGCTGCCTCTCACTGCCTTCTCCTCGGGCAGCTGCTATCACTAGCTTGGCCATGGGCTTCTCTCAACTCCTGCTCCTGAAGAACTCGTGAACCGAGCACCTGCGCTTGAATAACGGGACTAACGCCGGGTGCTGGGTGCTGCCGGGCACGGTGGGCCTGGGTCCACGGCGGAAACTGAGCGCGGGCCGGGGCAGCGAGGGGCAGCCGGGCGCAGGCAGACATCTCGCGTCAACGCCTGAGGTGGGCGAGGAGCCGCCATGGCCGCGGCTGAGGCAGCACATTTCCCGGCCCGGCGGAGCCCCGCTTCCCCTGAGCGCCAACGACCAGCGTCCCAACACGACCCATCCCGTCCCGTCCCGTCCCGTCCCCGCCCTGGGGCGGTGCCACCGCTCTCCCAGCCGTCTCGGCTTCTGGCCTAGAGGGCGGGTCCCCAGCCCGCAGGGCCTCCCTGTTGGGGAGGCCGTGAGACAGGACCCCTGGGTGTCCCTGCGTGCGGAGCGGCGTGCGTAGTCCTGCTGTCCTCTTTGTGCGGAGCTTCGCAAGCCACCGTCCTCCTCCTCCTGTCAGTTACAGCCGTGTCCAGGCTGGTAATGGCTGAAAGTCGCTGCTAGCTCGTTGGTGGTGGGAAGCGAGTTGACAGTTCCAGTCAGTGTGGCAGCACACGTTAATCGTCACACGAAGTCTTGTGTCAGCTGCTCCCCTCCACAGGCACGGTGAGGACTGAGCTGCATGCAGCTTGACCATCCACACATCCTCAAGTGTTGGTCAAAACTTCCTGGTCACTGTGGGGACAAGGCAGCTTTGACTGTAGCAGCGCTGCCTCAGGAGACCATAGTCACCTCAGGCATACGTTCTTCTTGCTCTGTTTGTGAGGGTCTGATAAATAATTTTAACATAAATAATATGCAGTTTTTATTGTCACTTTTGAACAGTTATATAGGAAAGCACGTAAGAGAGGGATTCTAGCATCTATTTAAAGCAGATGCAGTACATGTCAACTCTGGGGAAAAGAAAGCTGGTATTTGGAGCATACAGGACAACACAACCGCAGAGGAGGGGTTTGAAAGATGATGGTGGGGTACTTGGCAGAGGGCAGGAGAGGCAAAAGCCAAAAATGGAAAAGGTTGGAACAAGACTTGTAACATATAGCTTGGTAAGGCCAGAGGTAGGGTGGATAGGGAATGTGATCTCTGAACCTTGATTCAGATGTGATCATATAAAGTTTGCTATATTCCCATAGCCTATGTAGGACAGTTCTTCACATTTTTTGTAGTAATGTTTTCAACACTGAAAGAAATAAAAAAGGTGAACAGAGCAGACAGGCTGCATTATAAGGGAGAGCTTATTACTTACTGCTCCCTTATTAGGGAGAGCAGTAAATAAGGTATAGCAACCCCCCCCCCCCAACAAAACAAACCAAGAAAAGAACCCCAACCCCCCCAACCAACAAAGACAAACACCCCCCCAAAAAAACCCAACACCCCCCCCAAAAAAAAAACCAAACCAAACCAACAACCCAACAAAAAACAACCAAAAAAACCCCACTCCTATGGGCAGAGAATAAGTAGTCTGATTTTTAGCTTAGTGAACTGAAAGTAGTGGTGGGATACCTCAAAAGAAGTGTCAGAGAGGGAGAGAGATAGGGAGAGGTGCGATGTGGAATCAATAAAATAAATTAGCTGTATAATCTTGAGAAGGGATAAAGTTGCCTTAATAGGTAGCATGGGTAAAGGAGAAAATACAGAAAAAATATGACTGCTGTTGATGTGTATTGGGAGAAGAATGATGAAGGTTACCAGAAGAAAAAGCAGGGAGTCTGTCAGAATAAGACTTTGCTTTGGACAGAAATAAAGGACATGTGTTACAAAGACTGACTGAGAACAGAAATCGTGAGGAGACCTCTTGGTGTGTCCAAGAGGTGGTATTTTCAGGTAGAGTGTGTAAATGTTTGTATATATATAATACCCAGATTTATGCTGATGCCCTCCCTGAGCATTCTGGGGATGGTTCCCTGTAAACCTTTTTGCCCTGAAGTGGTGAGGCAGCAGTTCTACGGTGGCTGTTGGCCTCTGCATGTGTCTTGTACTAGAGCTGTTATGGCTTACCCAGTGAGTTTAGGTTCTTGTTAGAGGCTCAGTCCTACAGGGAGCAATATATGCAGCAGATGTTTGCAGTCATACAAAACAGCCTTTCAAAAGAGGCTGCATTTTTTTCAGTCAACCCAAATATGTTCCTATGTGAGAATGGTGAAGCAAACCAGCTGAAGATGTGTACAGGCTCGTAACATGAATTTCCAGTGCACATATATATTATTTTTTGGTGTGGGACAGCTGGTTCTTACTGTGGTGTCCAGATGTGTCTGTTGCATGGTAGTCCAGCTCTTTGAAGAGTTTTTTATCCTGGATTTTGGGTAGCTTGTATTTTGTTACTGGCCTTTCACTGCATCTCTGAGGTACTTCTGCTTGTCTGTTGACAGACCTTCATAGCACTTAACATGCAATCTGGCTGCATGACTTCTACTCCCCCTATAGTAGGGGAGAGATGAGTTTTCTCACTTCATGTGACAACAGTGGTTATGTCTAAGTTGTATGTACTGGTCATAAGATAGCATACAAATTGTCCACAAATATAAATGCATTTGTACTTTACTGCATTTTTAACTAGACAATGAGAGCAAGCTTTAATAAGAAAACAGTGATAAGTTATTAATTCATCTATCATGTCTGTTTGCTTCAGAGTAGAATTTGGACAGAGGTAGACAAGTAAATACAAACTAAAAGTGCTCTTTTGTGAATTTGTTTTGCAGATGTTTTCACATAATTGATATTTTTCATTTAATGCTGCTGTTAACGGCACACTGTGCAGTGGAGCCAGCATTTGGAAAAAGGAATTTGTTCCTCAAAAAAGAAATAAGGAAAAATGTTTCAGTGGAACACTGCAAGTAAAGAACGTTAATGCTGAACTTAGCTGTGACTCAGTTTGCAGATTCTGGCCTTACAGACAGATATGATTTCATAGAACTTTGCACTTCTACCTCACTTCTACTTCTTTGCACTTCCGCACATCTACTTTTTATTTCAACTAGCTTGTAGTAGCTACAGGTTCCTGGTGGAAGGGGCTGCACTGCTTGTTTCTGCTCCCATTCTGCTTATTGTTTGCCTTTCTCGTCCCTTTGCATAAAATCTAGTGATGATGAGGCTGCACGAGTGGAAAGGATTGGTTCAGCAAGCTGATCTGATGGAAAACTGATCTCCCCAGTAAAGAGATACAGTGTTCTGTCACTCAGGGGAACTGAACTTACTTGTGTAGTGATTGCACAGTGTCCACATACTGTGCAAGGGAGGGTCTGGAAATCTGCTCGTGCTTGTGGGAAGAAAGTGTGGGAACAGAATGAGTCCTTTGGTGGTAGTCTACAGTTACACTGTATTGATTATACTGGGAAGTCTTTTGTCACTGTTAAAGCAGCTGAATATATGAGACAGGTCAGTATGAATTCATCCACATTTAGCAGTGGACACACATTACACAGCTGTTGGTGTCTGCATTAGAAACTTTATGGAAACAAGTCTGAGGCAGAATTTGCTTTTGATTTCTGTATTATTGTGTATAAAAAGAAAAGCAAGCGATTTGAGTAATTAGCTACAAACCCAACAGTCCAATGGATGAGCAGTTTTCTGTGTTTATTGTGTTTTTTTTGTTTTTGTTTTTTTTTTTTTAAATACATCTGCTCGTACTACAGAGGTGGTACTAAACACAAAAAATACCGGCATAACCAGCTGTTACAAAATCCTCCTGCTCTGTATCAAGCAGAAACCTTCACTGGTGTAAGATTGGGTGAGGAAGTGGAGCTCAATTCCCTCACTCAGCTTGTATGCATGCCACAGTCCAGGCCTTCAGCTGTAGAGCTAAAACCTGCTGAACGGCTTTTCCCCACTCTCTTCATAAGATCTGTTGCACTGCATGCAGAGTGTTTAAGCTGTGTACTGGTTATTCTCAAGCAGCACAGAACTGTAGCTATCACCAGCACCCTGTCTTGAAACCCTTTTCTGTATGTTCTTATGCTTATCATCTAAGTTGCCTATTTTTAAATTGCATCTGAATGAATATTTCAAATTATTTAGGGGGGAAATGTTGTGACTCAGGCCTGATGCAGTGACCAGTGCTTGCACTGAGGATTTATTCTTCAGGAGGACAGACATCCTAATAGCCAGTTTATGACACTCCCTCTAAGACCAAGGGAGGTGGAATCCCTCTACTTTTAATGCTTTTTGAGTTCTATCAAAAGCACCTTTTTGTGGGAACTACTTAAATTTTGTAAACACTTGTTACTCAAAAGCATCCATTCCTTTTCCTCTTATGTAATTCTTAGGGGTTTCTTTTTTCCATTCTTCTAGTGATGCACTAACAATGGTTTTGT